TTGAAAGATTAAGGAGAAAAAAGGCTCCCTAACCTTCTGTGGCCTCCGCATCTCCCCTTATAGCCACCCTATCCACCCAAATTAATTTTAAAAAACAAATATTTAATTTAAATTTATCATTTATGCCAAAAGATCAATTTAGAAACATTTTAACTGTCATTCTAAGTTACTATTACATAATATAACAGTTCGTAAAGTAATAAACAAAACACCTGCAAAAGAAAGACAAGAAAACACATGAAATTTCAAAGAAAATACAATAAAAAGCAAACAATATGATGCCTTCGTCTTCTTCATGTAGGATATACGATAAACAACCTTAAACCACACGATAAATAAATTAATTTACACTCGAATTTATCTGATCTGTGGATTTTAGTTATAAAAAAGTTGGAGCATTTCTACATGCATAGGTAACCACCTAAAATTTGCAATTAGTTTGTACTTTTATGTACTATGTTATCTTTTGGTTTTCTTTAAATACCTAAATACCTACGGAACGTAAGAAGTTTTAGTTATAAAAGCGTTGTAAAAAATTGATAAGCACCTTCCTTGACATAAGAGTGGGAAATTTTCATTTTCATTTGCATATTATTTTCTATAATGAATTATATAACTAAAACTTCGTTTATTTTCATTGGCACGTAATTTAAAAACACGGATTTTTTAAAAATACAATACTTTTTGAAGACTTTAATGTGAAAATTCATTTTCGATTTTCCATCCACTACAAACTTCCTCAAGTTNTAAAACTAACAGTTTTTTGTCCGCATATTTAACTATAATCATCTTTGACTATCAGAGAACGTATAAAAAGTTGTAATGTACGGGACACAACGTAAAAATGATCACATTACAGAAATATACAACACAAACTGATAAAACTTCATTTACAATAAGTGTTAGGTATTGTAAAATCATAATTATTTTTATAGATTGCTCACGTACCAAATAAATTTAGATTATTTTATTAAAATTCAAAAATTTAGTTGCTTACAAATTTCTAATCGCACTGTAATATTTCTACCTTTAACTCGACAACAGCGCCCTCATTTCGCGCGAAGGTATCATCATAATTTGAATTTAAAATACAAATTGTTTTAAATCTCCTGACGACTGCTGGTCCTTTAAATAGGCAACCCAAATTACTGCAAAGTATTCTGAGAGTTAGGCTGCGGTAGCAATTTTGAATTCCTTCACTTATCATTAGACTCGGCTTTCAAAACCAGGGTTTAGAAAATATTAACAATTAAGAAATAAAAACGTTTTTAAATTGGGGACTGGAAGTGCAAGTCGATGTTCTCTATGAATTTTTATGGCAAAATGTAGTGGAGCTATAAACGCCAACCAAGCCTTTTTAGAAAAAATTTGATAGACTAATGTTCACAATTACCTACAACCCCAACAAAATGACCTATATAATAATCTAACGATATTATGCAAATAAGTAGCATATGCTTGTCATCCTAAGCATTATGTTCTAAGACGTCTAAATTGACAACAGATTAATAACGTATAATTAATGTTAATTTAACTGTTATTAAGTATTATTACCTGAATTAGTTGCAGAATGTGACCCTCCATAGTTCACATGTGTGAAAAACAAAGCAAACTCAGAAACGATCCCAATGCAGACATCGCAATCGTCATCGCTAGAGTCAAAATTAAATTCCCAATCTCTCTCATTTATTGACGAATCTGTAAAAACGGACAAAAAAAAACAATTACCTACTTTTAATCAATAATATTTTAAAGAAGACTGCTAATTTAATAGATACATGATGTACCCTTCATGACTCTTGCAATTTAAACATGTGTAGTTGTGATGATGATTGTTGACAATTAATTACCACAAATGAACAAGTAGTCCCTTTGTACTGGATATTTTCACAGTTCTCCGGAATACTGCTACTTCTGGAAAGGAGTATGACTATTACAATCAACTCCCCATAACATATGGCCAACGGCGTCCAAGGGTTTATTTTACTTAACTTTGAAATAGTGTAACCTGTATTCACTGCAGAATATTGTAATTTGGAATCATCTCTCATACTGTAAATAGGTCTGAAACAAAATGAAGATGCATGCAAAATGTTTTACAATTAGTTAAAAGATTATTCAAACTTTAGTAAGTGAAAAAGATTAAATTTAAAGAGAGAGATTGCTATCATAAACATATGTAGCATGCCGAGCATATGCAACTCAACATACACTGCGTATATCCAGAATGCATAAATACGTAAATTTAAATAAAATTAATGTTGAAACTTTGTTGAACACTTGAAAAGCTAAAAGTTATTACCTAAAAATGTGTGTAAAAGTTTTCGATGCCCGTACTTTTTGAGTAGAGCTTGAAATAAATGAAATACAAATTTTTAATGCAGTCCTAAACACAACAATTTACTCGTTAATGTTTAAATTGTTTTCAAAATTCTAAGTGAAGGTAACAATTTTCGTAAGGAGTTGAAACAATAAAGGTTTTTAATTGAGGAAAGATATTTCAATTTCTTTCTCAAAAGCTGAAAATCTATTATGTATTAAAAAGATGATTAAAGTTTTTATATTCTAGAGAGTATAATTTTGTAAAACGTAAAAAACTAATAAATGAATCAATTTTAATTAATAAATGAAGAATTCATATAAACAGATTTTAATCGTACACTGGCTGTTTTAATAAAGACATTAAAAATCATACACGATGCCTTTCATTAACGCTTTTACTAATAAAATGGAGATAAACATTGAAACTAATTATTCATTCAAAATTCGTACTTCTAAAATATTTTCAAGCCTTCAGTATACCTTGACCGATAAAATTCATATCCGCATTTTTATAATCTAGAAGCCACTAAGAAGTTTAAATAGTATTTTGATTGCCAACTTGTGTTTGTATTAAAACACTTAGTGGAACTAAAGACCTATTAAACTTTATTTTCCTTAGTTATTTTTTATCTGAAGAAGGCAAATTTTAAAGTGATACTGTATATAGAGGAATTTCTATCTTTGCACTTTATTCAAAGTATATTATTCTTTCTGAAATTCAAATGGAAAATAAACTTAAAATAAACCAGAGTCGGATCCAGCAAATATTATGTATGCATTATAAAACTTTTTACTTTCTCAAAGAATCAGGAATTAAAAATTTCAGTGATCTTGCTTTTTGCTTCTTTAAATATTCATACCGTATTGATTCGACTAGTGATTTGCAAGAATTTTTGAAAAAGTCTGCAACTCAAAAACGACTGAATGTGAAGTCTCTATTTTTCATTCTTACATTGTATATAATGTCGAACCTTCAACTTCGTAAATTCGCCACTGATGATGACGATCTTGAACTTGGCTTAGTTACATCAAATAATACAATATACGCTGTAATTCTTATTTTTTTCGTATATGTAATATCCCAAGGGTGGCCTCATACAAAATTGAAGAGAATATTCCACCTCCAAGGTTGAAAAATTGGGAGGTTTTTTAACTTTTTAGTTTGTTTTATATATACACTAGTGGCGAGTTAATAACAGAACATAGGAAAATTCTATTACGTGCCATTATCAAAATTAAATCTGTTAACGATAATAATAAATAATAAAAATAATGCAATTAAAACAATAACAACTGTATTAATTTCTAAAGGAAAATTTTTGATAGTTAAATAGAAGAAAATCCGCTTACCGTAATATAATCGATATTTTCGTTAATGTTATGAAATTACTGAAACGTTTGATTAATTTTCTATGAGTTATTAATAAAAGATAATGTCAGAATTTTCCTTGTAGCGTTTGTACAGCAAGAAGGTATTACATTTTTAACACAACGGTGTAAAAACACACCATGGTATTGAATATGAATTCTTGAAAATTAACCGGCTTGGCTCAAGGAAATTTTACGGTGATTTGAGGGTAAGGCGAATCTAATTTCGAAAATAAATGAACAAGCAGCAAACGATAATTATTAGTGGAAGAATTGATGGTTGCAATCCGTAGGGACACTTTTCCTTTTTTGTTGCGCTTCTCAGAAAAATTATAGATTGTTAGCCTAACTGGGGATTTATGATATTTACCTTCCAATATTATTACTTTATTACAACCATTTCTACCCTTGAGAGGTACATTTCTTTTCGCACTTCTTTTCCTATAATTGCCCAATAAATCTACCCTGTCGTTTACCGATGGTTACAAAATGGTACGATTATTGTGAAAAGAATAAACCAGAAATGTCGTGAGGACAAAATAGATTAAGCTTTTTGAAGGTCATTTTAAAATCCCCCAAACAAAATAGGTACGCGATAACATTTGTAATTGTATTTAGGATAAGTAATTGAGTACTCGAGAAAATCTCCAAATTATAATTTTTAAGTCGCTCTCATTAACAATTTGCTTGTAATAGTTAAGCAGGTACTCACAACGTAAGCAGGTTTTATTTTTATTATTATTAAATAGATACTTGCCGTAAACTATATATAAATAATATATACTAGTGGCGGACTGGGAACTGAACGTGATATAGGAAAAATCGTACTAGTACCTTCAGCCATTTTTCAGCATAAATAATTAAGTATTAAAAGTCCAGTAAATACAAGTTTTTTGAGAGTTCGGTTAGTTTAGGTCTTTAGGATAGCTTTCTTATAAGCAGGCGTGGTTAAAAAATATATATTCCACACATTTTCCAAATTGTATTATATTTTCGTTTGTGCGACATATGTAACGTCTACGTTCGGTGAACCCTTTACCATACCTGTATATTACAAATGTACGTGCACATTTGTGCAAGGCTTAAAAGTGATGAAATTTGCAATGACTAACTCCACCAACTATAAATACAACACGGTGCACACACATTTTAAATACATACCTATATATTTGTATATATATATATGTATATTAAGTCCGTTAGTTTTGAGAATGAAGAATCTTTGATAACTGTACAGTAGCATAACTGTTACTCACTTTTTACGTTTAGCAATGCTATTACTTTCTTGTCGCAAATGCACAGGTAGGTCAGATCCTGAATTTCATTTTTTTTATTATATATTTATCGGTATACTTTCATACTTCATATTCATTAATTATCTCTATGGCCGACGGTTCAAATTCGCACTTTTTGACTGAATATTCTTTCGGTGTAAAGAACTGCAATTACCTTATTAACCGATTATACATATAATAAAATATAATATGTACTTTACAATTATGTATAATAAGGAAGAATAAATAAAACGTAAACAGATAAATGCCTCTCATTGTTTATACACGTATGTATATTAAAATAATGCCACAAGTCTACGTATAAGAAGGTATTGTAATTATAAATATCTGTATTCGAGATAAAAACAAGAAATAGCGAAATCTTATGCAATTATGAAATTATGTGTGAACATACGTGTGTTTGTTTAAAACTTATGTACCCACACTATATTTCTGTACACATGTATGGAATTAAACAGGCAATGTAGAAAGAACTAGAAGGTGAAATTGATTGTCGTATAAATACAAGTCTTCGATAACTAGGATATACGACTTTTACAACCACCACCGTAGTTTTTGGACTAATTTTGGACAACAGTACATATGTTATTACAACACAAGTGCAGTGATTCTACGTACAGTGTATACTACGTATAGATGGATAGATAAAATGTAAAATTGAAAATAAATACTCCCTTAAATAATTTCACAATTTCTCGCAATCGCATTGTTTGTGACGAACTTTAGAATCAGGTGAAACTGTTAAAAGTAGGCTACCGATTTTGACGCATGTGAATATGCTTGGGAACTCCTATAGTCCAAATTCACACGATTACTTACTATATGTATAAATATGAGGACAGAATGTAGAATAAGGCACAGTTGCATAGGTGCTCCTATTTTTTTGCTTGATTGTTAGAAGAACTGAGAGAAATAATAACATTACGTTGTATGTATTCCTATCAATGCCAAAAAAACTAAGTTTGTCGCTTAATAATCACTACCAATATGAAGGGGTTTGTCCTGATCCCCCGAATAATTCACTGACAATCAACGCATGTACCACAGGTAATATAAAATGCTCGTTAAACATAGAACAAACAGTACATATGTAATTTTGAACCACGTCCTAAACTATTCTATTTTTATTCGTTCGCATGGAATTCCATTATATAACAACTTTAAGGGATGTAGTGGATGATACCCTTGTAATTTTAAAAATAATATAGTACCTACACTATATGTTCCCCTCATACAAAGTGACAGCCCTGCAGCATACAGTAAAAACAATGCAGTTAATTTAAAAATAAAAAAAGGCCTTCGGATATAGCCTACAAAAAAAGGAAATAAAGAAGCAACTAGAAATTAGGACCGAATCACCGAAACAATATAACTTTTTTTGTACAAAAAAATGCTTGTAAATTACGTAGGATTATTTTTGTTAGTTTTTGACCCTCTCCCCTCCTATATAGGACAAAATAAGAATAGGCCGACCCCCTCCGTCCTGATTAATATTTATTACGTAACAATCAAAAGGAAAAAAATGAATAGGTACAGGTTCGGTTTGTTTTAATGTTTATTTTTCAAAGTAAGTAATTTTTAGGAATGTTTATTTGTATTTAGAAAGGTCATGGTAATTTTTACTTATTGGTAGTAATAAACTTTGCTTTAATCATTCATCTTTACCTATATAAGATTTTCAGTGCAGACTTCCCGAGCTTTTTCAAAGTATAATTTTAAGTTTGGGCATTTTTGTGAGATTCCCTCCCAACCCCTTGTAAGAAAAATTAAAAGATGGTCGACCCTTCTCCCCCTATAAAACAAATAGGTAATAGCGCGGTCAATCAAGATTGTTTCTAAGTTTCCACAGCCCAAGACGCCTTGAGTTTCGCAAAAATGACAATATAAAACCACAAGTACGTATATAATCTCCAATAACTTGATTTCCATGATAATATTGGTATATTACACGTTAGGGAAAGTAACGAATGTCTCAGACCGCATGTTTATTTCCTCCCTTGGTACGTGTTACGTTATTTTTCAACATCCTTCGTTCAAGAAGTGAAATTTTCTTGGGTACATCGAGAGAAAAATCGCAAAAGCTCTCGAACATATACATATACATACCCTCGGTCAATAACTGCGACAAGGCAACAAAAAAATTTTCTTTCAAGACGTAATATTTGAGTTATTTAATGAAAGCGCAATTAGTCGTTATAGAATTGTAAATAACAGAGTCAAAAATAAATCGTACTGCATATCAGATTGCAGAAATAAGTATGTCCTACTTGTACCTGATGTAAAGACAAATTTTATTATGAAATAACGAAAGTGATACATACACGTTAAGTACTTTTTGTGTCGTTGAATTGACCGAAAGGAAAGTTGAGCTACTTTACTTTTTCCCGATTAACAGGAATAAAAACCATGTCACACATTTATTGTGAATTTCTAATGCAGATTATTCACTAGCGATCGGTAGGTCTAAACATACATATTATACGTTCTTGGTCACATGAACCAGACACATTCAAGTCCCGCATGATCACTGGCTTTTTACTTCATTGACTAATTAATTAATTAATCGTAATACCGTAGGTACATATACGGTTAATAAAATAATAACTAGCATATAAACCATTCAAATTAAAATATGTGTTTTTTTTTTGAGATATTATTATACTAGTAGCAGGTTTTATTTTTTGACAATTATCTTGTTTTAATTTAACATCTATAATCGTAATGTTAATTTTTGAACTTACTCCTATTTACCACGTACAGCATAATCAAACATTGACTAGGTATGCAAAATAAGTTTAGCGTTTACGTAAGTTTTTCTACAACTTGTTAACATTCTCCAATATTCTAGAGCGTGATGAAATTTATTAATTCATTTTCTATGAAAAGTCATGTGCATTTTAGTTTTCGCGTAACTTTTATTTAAAATATTGTCTTTTTATATGATTAATAAAAGAAGCAATATCATAACACCTATACGTTACACTACATAAACTCATGAATGAATATTGAATTTTTATAATAAGATACTAGTTCTTTACCTAAGTATTTTTTGTTTCAAAATTTCATTTACGCTGAAAAAAAAATTTCTAAAGCAACCAACAGATAAAATATTTTTATTAATAGCAATTTAAAAAGGGTCTCCAACGGAAATAACATTCAAATAAACCATTTTATCTCAACATTTTTGTGCTTTTTAAGGTATAAATTAGTTTATTTTATAGAATTTTATTTAGCTGCTGATTTTAACTTGCGGTTAGCAACGTAAAGTTAAAATATAAATATATANTATATTAAGTGGAATAATTTCTATTAACAACAAATAAAAAATACCTGCATTTTAAATAGAAATAACTTATGATAGTTCATTTGTACGAATACTTGTATATTTATGTAATGTGAGAATAAATTTTGAATGAAATTTAAACAAAAAGAAAACGCTTGCCACACGCTTGTAATAAATGATAATATTTGCACATATTCTTTTTTAATCATGTATTATTCGTATAGTATCAAATTACAGAAATGAATTATTGGTATGTCGAGCAGTAACTAAACTGTAAATTAAGACTCTTCTTCATGTTAACTATGGACTATATAATATTTCGTCTAGACAATAACTTCCTCTTTTAAGTAATATGAACGGTAATTTTAAAGGCAATTAAGTCGTCCTTGAATTCAAAAAGAAATTGCAAATACACCTTAATCATCAAAAGACCTACGCTATTCAACTCTGCCACAGTAAATTAAATACTCCTAATTAAATTTGAAAACACAAAAAACATTGAAAATAAATTAGGTATAGTTAAATTTATTCAAATTAGGAAAAACAGGTTTAGTTATAAATCTGATTCCACTTTAATAATTTAGGAAGAAAGAAACTTGGCAGATAATTCGGCTGGGGTGGTAATTTCCACATAAAGAATATTAAAATGTACTCTGTCCTTTCCAAGCTTTATAAAAAATAACCCCTACAGCATAATAGATTACTCAAACTGTTTACAAGAAGTGTTATTGATGAATGAATTTGAAAGGATTGTTTACTTCGATATTTATATAAATATTTCCTGTAAACTTTAGGGTTATTGCATCACAAAAATTGTAAGCACTTTTCAAATGCCGCCAAAATTCTACCCTTCCGTCGACTTAATGAATGAATAGTTTTTAAAACAAAGTGGTAGGAAGTAAATATTTTCATTCATAACGCTTAATTGTTTTAAATTGCATAATAATAAACAATACTGCGTTAATAAAGCAAACTCAAAATAAAAGTGAAACAATAGAGCAATATCTTAACTAGTCATTAATTGTTTAAAAGACGCACTAATAATATAACCAACCGCAAAAAAAAATAAACAAGAAAATGGAAATCCTGAAATTTACTCTATAGTGTAAAAAGTTTTTTATTTTTAATTTAATTTAAAGCGTCTTTAGCTAGTTTTATTACAATTTGCTTTTTGCCACCCTATCCACCCAAATTAATTTTAAAAAACAAATATTTAATTTAAATTTCAAGTCTTGTAACAATATGCTTATTACCATAAAACTTCGTACAACTTATTGTATAATTTTATTATCCTTCGCAGAAAGTATTATTCCTATTGTACATACAATTTGTATATTTTAAAAATTAATATCATTTATTACTTATTACTATATTATACCGCGCAGAGCCAACTGTTTGCTGCAGATGTTTTATAATTTCGTGGCGAAATAGAAAAAATTGTAATTGTCTTATTACTTATGTATACCTACACCTATAAGTATTAATAAAATTAAAACTTACCAGACTAACAATGAATTAATCGATGGTTGTTTTCAGTACGGATTACCTAAAAAAAATAGAGAAAAAGGTCAGTAGGTATCAAAAAATATAGGGCATAATAAAGAAAATGTGGGAATTATTTTTTATGACGCCTATAAAACATTTAAGGTAATTTAAATATGGTTTTATCTCTAGAACATGTCTAGATAAAACTCGAATTCCAAGCATAGTTTCGGCCTGTCGAGATTCTTTTATTTGTAGAGCATCAATAATTAGTTTTATCAAAATGAAAATATTATAATAAAAATATGAAAAGTCGTGTATTACGAACCGTTGTAATGTATTAACAGTAATAAATTAAGACTTGCTGGTAGAATTA